ACACGCAGCCCGGCGGCAGACGCAGCCCGGCAGGTGTGCGCGCCGGGATCCAGGCCGGGGTGAGGCTGCTGAAGGCGTCCCGTTCTCGTGGGCCCGCACATGCTCCGCTCCCTTCAGGCGTTAGCCCCCTCCTCTTGAGGAGTGACCGAGGTACTACAGGCGTTTTGTCTAATTGCTGCAATCTAACGTACCGAGGGAAAACGAAGGCACTAAGCCCCCACCGAGGCCTTTTCCAAGTGTAGCTTGAACCTGAAGTAATTTTTTTCCTTTCTTGTGTAAAAAACCAAACTTTTCTGCACCTAGTTCCTTCATTACACCACTCAATGATATTTTCTGTAAAAGATACTCATCGTTTCCTCCTCTTTCTTTACTCTCACTCTCAAAATGAAACTCCGCTAGAGAGCAAAACCCCCAGACTGTGTGACTTTAAATTAATTGGCTATTCCAGCTCTGCTTGTTAGATCATTTATAATACATGTAGGTGAAAAAAAAGGATTTTGAGAAGCTGTTTTTTTGGAAGAGAACAAAAAAAATGGGAGTTGCATCAGCAGATTTTTGCCCCAGGATGAACAGTCACTAATAATAAGATCTTAACAGACAGCTACGTGCACTGCTGTGTAGTTTGACTCAGAAAGAATCCCATAAAAGGAGGACAACAGGATGTTCTTAAGATGGCAACAAACTGGTCTGGATGGACAGGGGATAGAATTAAAACATATTTCCATAAACACTGCAAATAATTATAAAGCAATAAAATTGATCAGATTTTTTTTAAGTATATATGAGATAGATACAATACTTGGTCTTGTTTTCCAGTGTACATCTTCCTTAACATATTGATTTAAAGTGTTTGAACAAAAACAATGTTAACCAAGGTACCAAGAATTGGAAACAAATTATTTTGCAAAGAATTGGATCATAATACATATTGCCATCTTTTTGTAGAACATATGTGTATTGTTACTTTTGATTTTTAGATTATGCTTCATTTTGGTTTTTTTTTATCTTCTTGGGATTATGTTGAATTTTTTTTTTGTTTGGTTTGTTTTTTTTTTTTTTCCCTGTGGAATTGGGGCTATAATCCAAAGTACAGACTTTTACATGATTTCACTTGATGGTTTGTTCTTATGCTAACTTGATTTGTTCCATATTATATAGTTATTACACAGAATAGTATGCAGGAAAACTATGAGGAGACAACACACAAATTTTGGCTTAAAAGCTTTTGAGTAAAATTCATAACCTTAAAGGTACTTCCGACTATGCCAGGGAAAAAGTTACCTGCTCTGTTTAAAAGTCTATGTAAATCAGTCACAAAGACTGACTTCTAGAAAAAAATAATAGCAAACTACATTCAGTGATACAACTCCTTACACTTTTGTATATCACTTGTATATTTTTGTTCCCCTCTCATCACTAGAAAAAGTGTTTTAGAGACTCTGAATCCTGGCTGTTCTTTTGCTTTTAGAATCCATAGGTCAACTCATTTCTGTTCATCTATCTATAAAGTACTTTCACATGCAGCTGCCATACCTTAAAATCATTATAGTACACGTGGTCAGCAGTTGCGCTAAAAAACCTCAGAGGTTGGTTGCTGAAAAAGTTTCACCATCAAAGCAATTGTGTAGGATAGTTGAAGAAGTCTAAAACACCCTTGAATAAAACCCTTCAGGTGCTTCTCTGGGGAGTTTTGTTCTTGTCCTTCAGTTTTATAGCCCAAGTGCATATCTTCTTGGCAGAGGCTAACTTAATGTCTTTTTTTTAACACTTGCAGAACATGACTGCTCCCTTTCTTTGTTCAATGTGCATTTCAGGATGTTTAATTTGTATTTTGTGAAAGCATGTGAATTGGCCAGCATATAAATTAAATGAGGATAAGCAGTTTTGTCACTGTAATAGCTCCTCTCATCCTCAAGATCTCCAAAGCATCCTCAGGTGAGTTCTGTATAGCATTACCTGCTTTCAAATCAGCAACTTGAAGTAGAGAGGAAGCAATAAGAAAAATAATATCACTGCTGATAATAACTCTTTTATATTTCCAATAGTAAGGACTTCCTAATAGCAGCCTTACTTATGAACTATTACCCTTCTAGTCATGCAGGTTTTAAAGGTTGCATTTTCCTGATTTCTGCTTGGAATCTCTCTTTGTACTAACAGAGTTCTTAAAGTCATCATTACCTTTCTGTATTGCTTCTCATGCATATCTTATAGGAGCGCACTGCTTAAAAACTGTGGGCTTGGAGAGTATCTGCAGTACTCAAGCCCTGTATTCAAGCCCTGCTGTTTCCAGCCTCTGCAATTGAAATAGTCACCGGACGCTCCAGAGATGCCATCTAGTGGAACAGCGCAGGCCGCGGGGCTGCTGTGGGACTTTGTGATTTATATTACACGGCAACAGTAATTTTAGTTCCAGAAAAAAGACATCGTCAGAGTCCATAGAATAAAGACGCATTTTACTGCTGGTCCCCCAAATCTCCCTAACTGTATAAATACTAATTTTTTTCTTCATATGTTGAAAACTAGTTTACATTTACACAGACCTCTAGTAATTATATGGGGGGGTTCAACCTCACAAAAAGCCCTTCACGCTTCAACAGATGTCTGCCTCTGGTGGTAGCTTTAAGAATTCTGAACTGACAAGAAGTATCAGAAAGATGGTGCTACTTACGTTTCAAAGTGTGAGGGATTACTTTCTTTTTTTCCAGAGAAAGTAATTAAATTGCTAAACTCAAACTAAATTTAATCAAGCTATTTTCTCTTTCCACTAGTGATAAGATCCCTGCAATATTAGCGTTACCAACAATACGCAGCAACTTGTTTCACATGTAACCACCAAGCTGATCTAACTGCTTACATGTGTTGACACCAGGCAGAATAAAACCTGCTTCTTTATGCAACATTACACAAGGTCAGAAAGAAAAACCTTTAACCTAATTAAACAAGATGTATGCAAATAAATCTTAACTAAAGAAGCACTGTTGTCACTCTGTGTATGTGCTTATAGACTTCATTTATTTTGCAGACTGGGATCTACATGTATTTCTCAAACCTATCTTTGCTCTGGGATTTGATCACAGGCTGGTTTCTTCTGGTAAACTGAACTTAATTATTTTTGAGAACAAAGCAGCTATGGCCAATATAGGACCTTACATTACACATTTAAGATACAAGCAAGTGGAGTTCACTAGTAGTCTACATCTTAAAGAGAAGCATTTTGAATAATAAATCTATATCCTTTGTTGTTGCTTCCTTTGTTGTTATCATCAATTCTCTACCATCCTTCCCACTCTGCTTTGTTTGATGTTGGCATGCCGTTCTTCTTGTTTTGATTTAGACTGTTAGTTAAGTAAAGACCCAAGCCATATCACTTATGTTTTGGGTTGGGTTTTTTCCCCCTCCAAAACCACATTCAGAAGTCAGGTACTTAAGACTGGTTTGGTTTTGAGCATTTATTAGGAAAAATCAGATCTTTAACACTGGCAATGTCAGACCATTTAGGTTAATGGGTACAGGGACTCAGTCCATGCAGCCATCACTGGGCAGGCAGATGCATCGTCTCCTGTATGTAGCTGTCTCTCCGTGTAGGAACCAGTACACATATTCAAGCTCTCTTGAAGACCTGTTTACATACTTGATTCTCACAACGAAGCTCCTACCAAAAAAAGGCAAAACAAAAGTATAGATGTATATAGTAATCAAATGAACTGCTTCTAAAAGTGAACCTAGATCCTTTGCCATGACTACTTACCACAATTCTGCTGACATGCTGATAGGTTATGCTTAACATTCTGAATTTAACTGTACAAGACATCAAAAGAGTGAAGTTGTTCCAGCTAAACCAAAATCAAATCAGCATATGCTCACTATGTACCACCCATTACAAATACTACAGAGCTAGAAGACAATTTGTGCATACCATGACCACACTATAGATCTTGTTTTTGTCATATAGAGACAGAATTAGTAGAAATCTGAAGAATATACCAGGTGGAGGTCATCTCCCTCAAGCCAGTGAGTCCAGCCTCTGTTCTTCTTCTCACCCGTCTGGACACAGACAAGTTTATCATTTTCCCAGGTAACTATGCTCTGTGAAAGAGGAAAAAAAAGTGTTTCTGAATATCTTTGTGTTAGTTTTGCAGTATACTCTTAAAAAATGTCCTTTTTTCCTGGATAAAAGGGGACCTAAATACTATTCCCGAGGGAAAGTGAAACTCATTGTAAGTCAGGCTCCTACCTCTATGTTGCATTACAAATAGTATTCTTGAAATAATTCCAGCTAAAGTAGCTGGATTCATCACAGCATCTTAATTTTGTCACAGCCTCTTGATTTTACACACTCAGTCTTACCTTGCATTTTCTGTTATCCAGGCCTTTATTATCTTCTTCAAACTCTTCTCCAATTTTGAATTGAAGCAAATAATCTCTGAATGTGCTAGTAGTGTGGATATAAAATGAATCACCATCTTGTTTGATCACTTTTTGAGGCTTCAGCATTTTTGCTATCTTGCGTGTTGCAAAGTCAATACCTTGGACAGGAGGCAAAAAGGTCAGCGTTGTGTTTATCACCAGCCATTTTGACAACAAGGACTTAACCTTTATTCTAGAAGATTTCTTAGATGGTTTTGACCTTACTGCTATGCAAGGTTTTGTTGGTGGTTTGGGTTTGGTTTTTTTAAAGCTGTATGTTACACAGACCCTGTCATGTTGTTGTACATTTTATTCTTTGGAAACCAGTTTACTCAATTGTTGCACAACTCCTATGCAAGATTTCTAGGACTTGAAGTCAGAAGAGTCCTTTTAGGAGTTAGGCAGAGTTGGTTTCCCTCACAAAGAACCCTAAGCTTCATCTCAGACTTACATACCCCCCACTCAGTTAGAGGGAATAATTAATGCCTGTTCTCATCCTTTGTCAGAGGAAAGGCATTATGAATTAAGAAGGAATCTTTGCACCCTATACCTTGAATAGGTTAAAATGAAGGCTAGTCCTAAAATTAGTTACTTGGGCTTGTTTTCAGGACATTCCACTTGCTGTTAACACTTTTTAAGTGCAACTAGAAAACATCACGTTTGTCAAAAGGTTTCCTAGTTACCTGTAATGGTCAGTCAGTTTTTACAAAATTCTGATGGTTTTAGTAATACTAAGCTTAAAGCAGTGCTTCTAGAGTTTTTTCTATTTCTCTAGTGAATACATGTTTCTTTAGAGGAACCGGCCATCTATATGACAGGCAACTGAATTACACTGCATCTCAATAGCATGCCCAGAGTTAGGTTTTCAGGAAGGGGGATGGGTACAATGGCGGGTTGTGAATTAATTAAATTTAGTTGTTTTCGTCACCTAGATTAAAACTATCATTTTATAGGACCACTAGAAGTTTCTCACTTCTCACAGGCTGAGGTTGTGATCTCCCTGACAGGGTGTGTTCAGCTACCATGTGTTGAACCATATGGCTCATTTTGCAGTCTGTGTTTGAAGCAGGACTTCATTACAGAAGTGCCAGAATCTGTCAGTCATGTTTTCACATGGTTACCAGTTTATTTTAGCATAGAGGGCTTGGAATTCAGTACTGGCAACAGCCATACCCATTAAGCCTTAACATGGTTATAAGAATATAGAAATACAAACTACATACAAATCTATTCTTTAGAGATAGATATTAAATTGAAGGAAGGGCTAAGCTTGAAATGGCCATGGCCTCATGCCTAACCCTCTAGTTACTCAGCTGATTGGATATTAGCCTCCTCACTCTACTTACTCTGGCAGAAAAGTTTCTCAGTCTGGCTCTACAGTATTGATTTCAGTCCATGTTTTGTTCAGTATACTGGCAACCAAGCAGGAGTAATTGAAGATAGGTTGTAAATCATCAACAAGATTCTTTGCCTTTTAAGTAAGTTCCCCCAATTACACACTGAAAACAAATTGCATTTTTCACAAGATTGGCTGTTATATTTCATTTTTTAAAGCCCTCTGTTTAGCTGGATAATGTTTGTTACCAAGGAGCAAACAGAAACTATTCCACTGGAAGACATTAATGCATTAAAAGTATATTACTTAATATTCAAACTGAGAAATAAATTCTCATTACGGGAGCCCCCTTTCTTTTTTTCTAATTGATAATACAGCAGGATTAGAAACAGACAATAGTTCTTTCCCTATGTTAAAGATACCAACTAGACAATTTAAGTAGGTCACCCAGCATAGATACAGCCAGAAAATTGATTTTATTCTAGTTGTGTATACAATAACCAACAAGGGACACGGCTGGTCATCAGTTTACACAAATCAAAAAGGCAGAAAGGTGTGGGGGAGGTAGGGAGAAGAGAAGGCAGCACACGAGCTTGCCTGCTGTCACAGTCTGTAATGAGTTTTGTAGAAGAAGGCTGATAAAGTACTGAGAACTTTCTTTAGTTCCCCATTGAAGCACTGTTAATCTTTCTCTCTAAAGATCTGAGCAAGGTAAGAGGTTAGCTTCAAGCACTCCAGAAAAGGGACAGTTAGAGAGACTTATCAACAAGTCACAGTAGTAAGAGAAGAATTTTGCAAGCTGTTTAAAGATAAACACTACCCTAAACAACTGCGTGGAAGTGGCAAATACCCAAGCACTTTTTTTGTTACTTAACATTTAATTAACCCTAGACATAGATTCTGTAAGTTTGTGCTCAAAAGTAAGAGAAATTGAGTGGGCAGGACATCTTCCCTGTCTCTGATGAAAGTTGTTCAAAAATTCTACTTTTAACAAGCATTAGGCTGAGATATTCCTGAAAGTTGCAATGACACTTGGGTGACAGCTTAAAATACAGTTAATGCTGTCTGTTAATAATCAAGAATCCTTCCATGGTATTTCAGAAGAAAAAAGCTTCAGCAATATCCAGGTTTTAGAAGAACTCAGACTCTTAAAATCCAGGAGGACCTTATAGGGTAAGGGAGGAAGGCTAGAATCAGGTATTTTCACCTACCTAAGGCCACCATATAACCTTCAAAGTTGTCATTGCTGATAAGGTTCCAGGTTCCACTGAAATCCACAGGCATTGCCAGACGGGGGAAGGAAGACACAGTCAACTTCTGACCAAACAGCAAAAATGAAGTAGTTTCCCAGCCAGACCTTATATAAGGAAGCCCGTGGGTGGGATTACATCCCAGAGCCTTTCTGACGGAGGGGAAGGGTACTATTGCTGAGCCTATAGGTGAGAGGGTATTTGTAGATCAGCCTCAGCTGCATTAGAGGCAAAAGTTCACAGTTTCTGAAATCTTTGTGTGGAGCAAATGTTAATAGCCCAAGAGTCACAATGCAAACCAAAAACTGGTTTAAACTGTTTGTGTCCATCTTGTATACTTTAAAGGGAATCATGGACAGATTTTGTCATTATTAAAGTTCCCTGCTTGCATATTAGATCTGTGGCTTTGTGATCTGAAATCCACCTATTTGTTGACAAGGTGATCTACCCACATGCTATATTTGAACAGACAGCGATTGACTGTTACACTCTGGATGGTATTGTATCAGCAAATTGTAAAGCAGTACCTATGACACAGTAATAGAAATATTATGTCTTGTTGGTTAATGTCTGGAGTGAATAGTAGGCAGCATCATTGCCTAGTGGTTATAACAAAAAAAGTGAAAGACAAATCTTGCTTGTAGATGTTATTCTCTGATGTGACTCTCAACACAGCTCTACTGTGCCACAGTTTACACCTATTTGTGTTCTGGTTTCTTTAATGCTGTTAGCTATATCCTAGATAAACGAACATATATATAAAAAATTATTTATTTTGTCAGATGCCTGACCAGCCAGAAAGTTTGTGTAACAGTTAGGCATGAGAGCAGATCCAGAGCCCTGAGCTCTGTTTCCAGTTCTGCAGCTCTGTATTAATCAGTTTTCCTAGATGGGAAAGAGGATGAATACCTGTTCTTGCAATCCACTTTCAACTCCTAAAAATAGCCAATAACAAATTCAAAAAGTACTCTCATGTATATAGAAGACATAGCTCCCTTTTTTCTTTTTATCCTTGACACATGCAGGAAAGGGAAGGTGATACAGAAGTTACTCCCCAGATGCTTTATTAGATGCTATACGTTGTGGCAGAGCATATAGGGAGTGCAGCGCAGGATGCAGCAGTTGAGCTGCAGTGTTGGACTTCATTTTCAGCAAACAAATGAAAGAAATCTCTTAAGTGATGGCACAGCTATGTGTTTTGAATAAAGAATGCTTGACTTCAAAGAGAAAGGATATATAAAGAATTTGGAGGTGAGATTTTAGTTCCTTCAGAAGGTATAAATTCTCCAACCTCTTGCAGTTCCTCCATCTGTGGTTACTTTTTGCAAACTATATACCTTATCGTTACAAGTTACCAAATGAGAAATACAAATTTAACAATCCTGAACAATGAGGCACTCTAGAATTGCTAAGTACAGGAGAGCTAGATAACTTCGTACCTCAGTTTCCTCATCGGTAAAATGGGGAAAGCAATAATTCCCCAAAGTCACACACGTTTTGAGCGTTAGCTTAACCCCACATTGTAAGTAGTCAGATGGGACGGTAATAAGCACCACAATGAAGGCTACATGAAAAGAAAAACCCCAAACTGATGAGCAAGGGAAATCTTAACTGTGTTGCTACCATATTAAAATGGGAATTTGGTATTCTGAATCTTGAATGAGGAAACTCACCTGTAGTGTTATCTATTTACTGACTTGGGTAAGCTGAATAAAAAGATAGTATTTTCTAAAGAAAATGAAGTTTCCCTGAACTTTAGCTACATTTTTGGAGCTGACAGTTTGACCTATATGACTCACAGAATCATGTGAGTAGGAAATTAGGACATGTTTCCTGTTTGCACATGGATATTGTTCTTTAGCCTATACTAAATTAGGAATGGCACAGAAAAATGCAAATCAGTGTTTCCTCTGGACTCAAATAGTAACATTTGACCCATAATTTGCTATTACGAGGTTATGATAGTAAAGCACTGTTGCAATACTACTGACTCTTCCAAGTAAAGAGAAGACAGTACTTGGATAAAACATGTGTAAAAGCCTGGATATGACATTTTAGTTGAAAATTAAAATTATGCAGATTGGGTGGGATGTGGTGCTTCTTTCTGTAAACCAGTACTTCATCTCAAAGTAAGCCCTATAAAGGGTACTAGGGTTACTATTTCAAGGCTCAGCCAAAGAATTGCCTGTGGAACTTTTTGTAAGAACTACCCAGTGCCCTGGCCACACCCTACGATGGTTCATTTCTTTCTCCCTTGAAAATTCCCCATTTTCTTTAGAAAGAATTTTTTTCCATTTCCATCTTAATTGTTGTGAAGTGTTGAGCATCTAACACATTCCACTGAGGATGTGGGCTCATTACAGAAGTAGATAAAGTGGTTCCTGCTGCTGTTGCAGTATTCATAAAATACTTTGATTCTGAACTACGCATGTGGTGTAAGGGCCCTGTGTTCTCTTAATAGAGCAGAATCAAATGCAGTGATGTAAAAAAAAAAAAAAAAAGTGTCGTTTTTGTTTGTAGAACATCTGTGAATGCATTATAACTCTTTTATAAAGAAGTTCAGTGAACTGCATTATTCACAACCCATACATTTTCAATTATATAGATTCTCTTTTAGATCTAGTCCACTCTTGAAAGTTGTACCTGGCTAACATTTTTGAATATGCCCCATCACTGACTCTGGTGCTGATAATTGTAACTGATTGGAACCACAGATTGTCAGTGTGTGGTTATTTCTAGTGTTGTAACAGGCAGGTTTCTGGATTCAACTAGTAAAACAAAAGATCCATATTCAGCAGTCAGTGTAATTTTTGAACAATGTTCTAGTTTGTGTAGACGGAATTGTACTGATACTATTCTACCTCTTTAAAAATGATGCAGTCATCAGATTTGGTTAATTACAGGATGACTAAAATTAGCATATTACATGCAATTTATTTTATTGGGAGCCTCATCACACATAACTACATTAAAATCCAGTGAAATATAACCAAAGCTTTACAAAGCATCCTACTGAATTTGCAGTTTCTCTAGAAGTACAAAGTGCACCAACATACACTAGCGTTGTTATTTAGAAGAATAAACCTAAAGTGCAGTTTTACTCTGAAAAGTGACCACATAAATAGGGTGTTTTTCCATTAGAAACATTTGCTCTGTTTATTCAGAAGCACACTGGTTAGCTTGAGTGTCAAAAATAAATCTTTCTTGTCCTCTGTTCTTGTCAGTCGTAAAGACAGCAAGCAAAAGAGAAAAGTAGCTCTTGTCGTTTCCTACGCACCATCGATAATACAGTTATCTTCAATCAGTTACGGCAGTTTGACTGCTAAGGTGTCACAGGGGGCATAATTTATCCTTTGGTACCTTTAGTGCTAGTGATGATAAATGAACCCAGCCTCATTATCAAAGCACAGTGTAAGCTTGCCTGAGCTCTAGGGGGAAAATGGCAGACAGCACAGCTGATGCAAGAATCACCAAGAAAAAAAACTAAGAAACCTTGATGCTACTTTCTGTCACAGTGCAGTTACAGATGCACTTCTAAGTTGCGACTTGATTTTATTGTACAAACCTCCTTGTAGATTCTCTGTAGACAGCCACCTTTACAGGCTGAAACTAGTAGAACACAGATGTTCTAGTGTATGGGAATTGCAGAATTTCACAGGGGTTCCAAGTTTGCATGCCGCTGCAGGTTATAGGTTTTCCCAATAGTGTCTCAACTCCACTGCTGGGTTTTACAGGAGCCTTGCAGGCCCTAGGGCCACCCATGTGGTGTATTTGGCTTCTGGCTTCCAGACTCCCCCCAAGCTCCAAGGGAAGCCTATACCTCTGCCTCAGCTCTCTGGGGATCTCCTGTGCAGGGAAGGAGGGTGATGGGTCATCACAGTTATGATCCTGGAACATGTCCCTGGTTCTAGACTTGCCCGACACCATCTAGGCTTCCTGCCCCAAGAGTCTCACGTTCTGCTAGATTTGTTGATCTGAAAAATGTGAGTAGAGTCATCTTGTGGAGACAGTATGAAAAAGCTGTTGACCCATCAGTTAGCGTCTTGGAAACCTTGACATTTTTAATAAGGCACATAATCCAAACAAAAATGGGAGGACAGCAAATAGTAGAATTCTATCACCATGACATTCACAGTGCCTCTCTAGTTTATATTCACATAATACAGGCAATATACTGTTAGATTCAAAACAAGATTTCTAGCAAAGAAAAACATTTCACTTGTGTCCAGTCTTAACATTCTACCAATTCCTCTCAACTCCAGTTACAGAAAACAATTCTGGCTATGTACATTGGGCTCAAAAGTAAAAGCTTATTTATTACTGGAAATAAAGGGACAACTGTCTGAGCATCAGTGCAATGACACTATTATTAATTTCTATCCATTAAATCAATGGATTTAAATGCAGTTTCTGAAGTAAGTCTGTCTTTCTATGAGAAACAGTGCTGAGCTTAATGTACAGCTCTAGAAACATGAATGGAAAAGTAAAGCACAAGGCATTTCTGGGAGCACAATGCATGACAGCAGACAAACAGGCTGCATATCTGAAAGGCAGGCAGCTCACAGCATGGTATATCTAGCACCGCTTCAGCCAGGAGTAAATTTTTCACTTTCAGAAAAGAGCTAAATATGAGGCATGCCACATGTTGGCAATTTTTTAAAAAATTGCTTATATAGATTCACTATCAATAAGTAGTACATTTTGAAATTAAATGGCCCTGTCCATTTAAGACACTGTAAGTTATTAAAAATAGGTGTATTTTATAAATAGCAGTCAGAGCAGTCTGACTTAAAACTAATCAGAATGTTTTCATTTGTTTTGTTCATTAATTTGTATTTTCATATGCAAGTCTGAATTCTTATACTTAGTTCACTGCACTATGACAAAATTTGACAAAAACATGAAAATCTTACTCTTGGATTTGAAAGAGATTGTGTAGGTCCAATTATTGAGTGCGCCAAACCTCAAAACCAAACTACATATGTACTAAAGCCACGGAAGTAGCCCACTATTTACTTTAAAAAATCAAACAAAAAAAACAATCCCTAAAAACACATTTTCCTGTACTGAACTGTAGCTTTTTTCACAGCAGAAAGTAAATTAGATGTATAGTGCCTGTTAGTTCTTGGAATCACTTGCATGTTTCTGTAAGGGAGCCAAGACAACCCCAGCATTCCTGTCTTCACTCTCTGGACTATATAGATTATTTTTTTCTATATATGCTTGAACTGCATCAGGCACTAGGTAACGAATGCTCTGGCCCCTCCGCAGTGCTCTCCTAATCTTTGTGGAAGAAATGTCATTTGTGATCCATTCTTCCACAAGGTGAATGTTATTCTTATGCCTCCACAAAATATCAGATTCATAGATGAATTTCTGAACGCTGTTTCCAACCCTACTGATGCACACAAGGCCATGATTTTCCACAATTTCAGTGATGTCCTCCATCTTCCACAGATTGGGGATCCCAAAAGATTCCAGAATGTCACTTCCACAAAGCAGTTTAACCTGTGGGACACCTTAAAAAGAAAAGTAAGTGAGAAACAGGGCTCAGTTTAGGCCACCAGATTTTAGCTAACTTGAGGGGAATGTTTAATTTCTAGGCTACTTCTCTGTACCTTTGGTTAACATGCAACAATGGAATGAAATTCAAAAACATTCAGAGTATATAGTTTATAATTAATAGCCTCAATACAGGATTTTTCTGAAAAAAAGGTTATGGGAGTCCTTTCGTTCAAACGGACTGGAAAATAAATTCTAATATGGTCATTTAGCCTTGGGGTGAATCAATCACTGTGAGGATCAAAGTAAAAGAAAATATAGAGAAAATTCCCAAACAGCTAAGTATGAAAGGCTAGTGTAATGCTGTTAAAACTTTATCTGGCAGAAGAGGAGCTAGCTTTTACAGGACAGGGTGCAGAGGGGATTATGTACAAAGAAAGAAAATATGACTGAAAAAAAACCCCACAGACTGTGTGACCTGACTTCAGGGGACTCTCTTCCATACTATGTTTTATAGGGAATCTAGAGAAGCATGCACACAATAACCACCTTAAAGTAATGGAAGCAAAATTGAGAGGGCTACAGATTTGCAGCTTCCAGTAATGTCCCAGGGTGGTAGGAATGTAGTAAAACATCTCTCAACACAATATGAAAACAGCCTGCCTGATGCTGTTGCATCTTTGAAGACGTTTTACTTTAAAACACTATCAATTAAACAGTAGTTTGGAAAGGTTCACGGGAAGAAGTCAGGCAGAAGTCAAGATCTGCTAATATAAAGGATTAAGATGGTCACTACACAAAGCTATGCAAATTTATATAAATACATATAACTGTATGTGTTAAGCAAAAGAATTAAAATTAAGATCTAAAAGCAATATGCAAAATAAACGCTACATAAAATTACAAAGCCAGGCTACATCTGTTTTATGAAGTTTTATATTACAATTTAAAATGATCCTGTACCCAGCTACATTTTGAATTTCAGGACTTAATCCTGTCCTTTCTTTCTTCAGCAATTTATAATGGGATCCCAAATTCTGAGCTGTAACGACCATTTAGCAAAGTTCTGTAGGTAAAATGGATAGCTCAGACCTTTCTCAGTTAAAGTTTGCATTATCTTGAGTATTTTTTTTTTAATATATATTTTACCCTTACAGTCATCTTGTTACAAAGCCTACTCCTTTATGCTGTGCGATCTAAGGAAATACTTATTTGGTGAAATCAGAACCAAGAACTAGCATAAAATCAATTACTCATCAGTGCAATTCCCTTGAAATAGCAAGTACATTTAAGTATTTAATTTGCAAACAGACTTAACTTTTTATATCTGGACTCTGATTTTTCTTTTTAACGGGATCATGCCTATTTGGTTCCTGTTTCCTCTTCCGTCCTGGCTTTGTTAAAGGTATAGCATTCTGCAGACTATTAGTGGGCTCAGGAGATGAAAGCTTTTGATGATGGTACCTGCAAAACAGATGTACTTTAGGTATTTTAAAGATGTAGGAGAATATAAGGAAAAGTATGGCCTACTAAATAATCTATCACCAATTCCTCCTGCAGTACTTTCACATACAACCCATCTGAGAACTGATCTGCTGGAACAGGGACTTGTGAGAGCTGGGTCATAAGATGGTGAAAGCACAAAGATTTCACAGCAACACCTACAAGGTTGGTTTGTTTCTTTTTTAATAAAAATTCGTTTTACAAAGGAGAACCTCAGTGAAGTAGCAGTGACTGTAAGAGTAAAAAAGTAAAACTTAAGATACTCCTTCAGAAAATTCTCATGGAAGCCTTTAAACACACAAATGGGCAGCACAGCACAATCAGAATCAAATGAAGGAAGCTTGTGTAGCGTATGTCTACCCTGTTCTAGTCTCTTGTCCTTTCTCACTAATACCTTCTCAGCACAAAAACTGAACAAAGCCTAAGAAACAATATATCTTAAAAACTGTTCACAGGCTCATTTTTTTGTATGTTTAGGACTAATGGTACAATCCTTCCTTTACAATGCTCACATAAATAGAACTTCTGAATTCACTGAGTCTATTCATATGATTTGGAGTTAGCCTGCTAAGTATTCTAACTTGTTAGAGCTATCACAATTCCTTATCCTTCTATATGTTCTTGAGATTTTTTAAGGTTTGGCTGAAGAATACCTTAAAACTTTTAGTGTTTCCAACCACTCACTCTGGCTGCTTTCCCAATCATCAACTTCCACCCAATCTGAGTTTTTTGTAGCTAGTTTTGCCATAGTTACTCGGTGATTCGCACTGATCAGACCTTTCTTCTTATATGCATCACCTACTGGTGAAATTATTCCTTTGATTACTTTGTATTTTCCTGTGGAAAAAAACATATCACACAAGAACGTGAAAAGCAGTTGAGCAGATGTTACTTCCACCGTATTGTATTTAAACTCTTACATAACTATTACTCAGTGCAATCTCTACGAACACCAGTGCCAGCTCTGATAGCCAGCCCAGTGGAAAAGTACTGTACGCTTCTGCCATTGTGCAAGGCAGCACAGTTAAAGATTTAGTAAGATATATTACAAATATATTTTTCTATAAAGAAAAACTGTAAAATTCATGCTTTAGCTCATTAAAATTAGTAATAAGCAACACATATGTGACTTTTCTCTCATGTATTTGACCTACATGATTCTGTATGATACATACACACATACTAACGTCAATACGTAATTAATATTTCCAAAATATTTGTCACTGTCAAAACAGGCATTCATATACACAAAGGAGTCACCTTAACATTGTGTCTAGTTATCAGAGCTGTTCCAAACGATACAAATTACCATCCTACCTGTTTCATGTAAGTAGTCTCTAGCCAGCTCAAACAGTCTTAGGTGCATGTTGGTAATGGGATTGAAGGACCCACAGGCCAGCAGTACGACTTCAGTCTTCTTGTCTGGATCTTCCGTAGCCATTCCTCGCAGCTACAGAGCCAAGTGGAGACTGTTGGTGCTAGTTACCAGCCTCTACAAGAAGAGACAAGATGAAAAAGTAGTTATTTGTGCTGCCAATAAGCGTATTTCAAGATCAAATTGAACACTGTGTTTTTCTTCTGTCAACATTTGGCCTGTGATTGTTCATGTGATATTCCATTATCCATTTTTAAAAAGATTAAAATGACGCTTCTGGTTCTTTCTGGTTATCCCTGGATAGAGGTACAATGCAAGGAGCCCGGACAACAGGATAGCAGAAAAGGAGGATAATTCTGTTGCAGAAAGGAGGATAATTCTTCTGTGAGGCTTCAGAAATCAAGGATGTAGAGAAATCAAGGATGTAGAGAAAAGTGAGTGTGCTGGGGAGAAGACATATGTAAAAGACAAGTGAACCCAAATTTGCCTTGCTCATGTATTATCAAAGCAGTTGCAATTCCCTCCTATATGCAAGAGGAAACATCTTTAAAAATTAAATCACTGAAAACAGGCTCCGTGCCTAAAGAGGACAGTGTATTGTCCACTCTGATGAAAAGCAGCTCATGGAGAAAAAATACTTGATTGGCAGGACAAACTTTATTAGAACTTCACAGTCTTTTTAAGATGCCAATGCCAATCAACTGCCAAGAGACATCTGCAGGGAACTTTTTTATAAGTAACTTACTTACCTCTACTGCTTACAGGGGGAATATAAAATCCTATGACAGTTCCCAGTGCTGCTACTCTAAATTGCAGTGAGTCTTTCCAGCAAAATCTATAAAACTAACATTGTATTGTATTAAATACTGGAGGAGGAGGGTTAACATTTCTTTGTTCAGGATTTCTATTTTACATGCTCTTGGTATGTGGGAAGAGAGTACTATGGACTAAATACAAAAACAACCAATCAGCTTTGTGTTGCAGAAACTAAGTGGTAGGTGTACCAGTGGAACAGATGACAGAATAGTGAATTTAAAAAAATTTAGCTAAAGCTGCAATTAAATATCTTTTTTTTTCTCCTTTTTTAAAATACAACATCACTGTTCCAATTTTGAACTTCACTTTCAGAAAGCTGCTTAAGGAGAGGTGAAAATAAGGAAATCTCACTATTTTTCATTTCTCCTCACGTGCTACAGGGATTTTTGTTTCTCAGTATTTTCTTTCATGAGAATATTCTGGCTTGCCAAAATGGTTTCCCCTAGCCTGGCCCTTAACAAATGAAAACTGGAATATGTTATGGGCCATTCTCCCACTGTTGCTGTTTGTGAGATGTCTGAGACATCTGTGTTGAGCACTGAATAATCTGCCATTGTTTCTACAGCAACATCACTGCCTGGAAAAATACCACAAGGTCACCCTCAGATTTTGTCTTCTTTACAAAGAAGCTGAGTGATGCCTGCAGCCCTTACAGTGCTGAGATACCATCACAGCTAAATTTTGTAACAGCAGGTATGTACTAAAATCAAATAACCCTTGAATAAAAGGAAGCCTTGCAAAGCTTCACATTTTGCAAGTGTTAGTACTTCTCTGTGCTTTCAAGACCTTCACAAACTTTTAAAATATTCTTTATTACTGTGGAGTAGTTCAGCATTTGAAGGGTTTGGTGTTACTTGGAATGCAGTCTTCACAGGGGCATCAGCTAGAAGAGTTACTATGGGAACCGGCAAGGAAAGGAGTTAGGCTTGTCTTTGTAATGCATAAAGCCCTACTTTCTACAGAAAGTGACTCATGCTGCAAATTTGAAAAGGGTTGATTTTCTCTAAAAAAAAAGGGGGGGGGCAAAAGTAATAGAAAATTTAAAAATGAAAATATATAGTGCCTTTTCTGGAGTTAGTCAAATGTCCTTGTGCATGCTGCTAGCTAATTTTACCATCTTCAGAAACAGGCAATTATTGCATCATAAACTCACCTTGTAACGCTTCATATCTGCATAGAAATTGAGAATATAAATGTAATTTAGTAAGTAAGCACATACCCTCAGTCTCCTAATTTGCATTGACATCCTCTGTCTAGCACTTGTTTTCACAGAAAACAGCTGCATGGTTGATGAGGAGAGCAAAGCAAATGACAAGGAGGTATCATCCCACGATTACCTTCACTCTTATGTCATCCTTGTCACCAGCACAGCACCGTCAGAGCTGGGATCTGCTTTGTATGAAATGACCTTCACATAGCTCTAACGTTTTTGGGAAACCTATGCAATTTGGACATCTCAGGAAAGGAAAAAAAAAAAGACTAAGTTCCAGTGATTATTAAAGCCCAGCCACTGCCTGAGCTGTATATGGACCTGTGCCTGTTCTTATTGTCTGAAAACATAGGGAGTTCCGATGAATTACATATAATTTGGCACCGCTTGACACAATTCTAATTACTGCAGTTTGACCATAAGGTCCAAACTACCAGCCCAGCTCCTGCTATACAGACGTGAAGATCTATATGCAGGTGTTTAGTTTCACAAAACTGAGAACAGTCGTAAAATAATGATATCTTATGCCAAATACTAAATTAAGTAAAACCTTTCTAAGGAGCCTTAAAATGGGGAAACAAAGTAAAATGGCCTTCACTCAGATTTTCCATTAAGTGCAGGACATCCTGGATTGTTCTCCCTTCTTCAGAAGGAAAAATGAGGCACCCCATGATGTATTCCTTTAGAAATATGCTCATATATAATTTCATCAGGTTTATATATAATCTGACCAATACTTAGCGTGTACTACTTGCAATCCTACTAGTGCTTAGCTGAACTGGACACATATTTGCCCTAAAACCCCTCAAAGGATGCCCAAAGTAGATTTGGAGATGGTTCTGAAAACCAACCTGCTCGCTTCTGTGGATAAGCAGGTAACTGTGCGTGTGCTTTGGTGAATCGCATGTATATACTAGAGGTAAGTATTTATTAACCATGCTTCGGCACCTGGAGCGCATAAAGCCATTAAGCACTAAGCGTACGGCGTGCGGGCAGCGGCTGGGCGCTCCGCATGCTGAGCGCTCCAGTTTTCCGTCCGTTTCTGCCATCTCCTCCCCACAGCTGCACGCCGCCACAGGCCTGCACGCTGCCGCGGCCCCGCACGCACGGGGCGCAGGATCAGGCCCCGACCCAGCGAGTTCCC